GATAGTGTTTTGCTAAACTGCCCAAGCAGGCCTTGAACTTGTGATCCTCTTGTGTCAGTCTCCCTAGTAGCTGGGATTATAGGCTTGTGTCACTTCATCCAGCTTTAAAACTTTTATTAAGAATAATTTAAAACATATGTATAAGTAGACAGAATAATATATACCACCTTGTATTCAGCTTTAAGTTTTTTCAATTCATTGCCAATTTTGTATTTTTTTTATTATAATTCTTTTCTACCTCTTTCTTTTTATTTTTTTATGTTTATTTACTTTTTATTTTATTTATTTCCTAGGGATTGATCCCAGCGTGCATTACCACTGAGCTACATCTCTAGCTCTTTTATTTTTTATTTTGAGATAGGGTCTCACTAAGTTGCTTAGGCTTTCACTAAGATAACTGAGGCCGGTCCCAAACCAGTGATCCTCCTGTTTCAGCCTCTTGAATTGCTGGGTTTACAGTCATCTACCACCACACCTGGCTCCTCCTCATTGTTTTGAGGCAAATCCTGAATGTTATGTAATTAATCTTTAGATATTTCAGTATGTCTGAAAAATAGACTTAAAAAGTACCATTCATGTAAAATTCAGTCAGTGTTCAAATGACCAATTTTCTCATAAATGATACTTTGGCTTAAAAAAAACCAAAAAAACACAACTTTCTGGGTTAAGAGTCACATGAAGTCCTCATATTGTGACTAGTCTTTGTTTTTTGTCATTTGCTGAAGAAGTCCTTTGGTCCTATAAAGTAAGAGACTAGATTTTACTGACTGCATCCCTGTGGCTTAACATGGCCCCTGTGTTCTATATTTCCTATAAAAAGGTAGTTGAATCTAGAGGCTTCATCAGATTCATGTTCACTTTTTTGGGGGGTGATGCTGGAGGGAAATTTTTTTTTTTTTGGTAAGACTATTTCATAGATAGGGATTTACTAATTTCATTTTTATTTTCTTTAATTACATTTTCTAAACTTTTCTCAATAAACATACTGTCTTTAGAAATAACACAGAACATGCCAGGTATAGTGGCAAACGCCTGTAATCCCAGTGGCTTGGATGGCTGAGGCAGGAGGATTGTGTGTTCAAAGCCAGCCTTGGCAAAAGCGAGGTGCTAAGCAACTCAGTGAGACCCTATCTCTAAATAAAGTACTTAATAGGGCGGGGGATATGGTTCCATGGTAGATTGCCCCTGAGTTCAATCCCCTGTTACCCAACCCCCAAAAAAAGAAATAACAAAAAATAAATACCATTAAGAAAAAATAGATTGTGAGCCCACAATGAGTGGAAGGAGTAACGGGGTATGACAGTCCCTAATTGAGTAATTCACACGTGAATACCCAGCATTGGCTATATTTATATTGTTAAGTTGGAAAGTATATTTACATTGTTTTTGCCAAGTTGGAAGGTTCTCCTGCTGATTAAAGTTGGACAGTATTTTGCATGTTGCCTTATCAAATTTCTGCACTGTTATATATGCTTGTGAATGATTGGCCTACAGAAATCAACATTGCAGGTCTAAACTAACCCAGAGGAACCCTCCCTTCTTTTTCTACTTGAATCACTCTTTCTTCCCCCAACACTGGGGATTGACTCCAGGGCCTCACATATGCTAGGCAAGTATTCCTACCACTGAGTTAGGTCCCCAGTCCTTTTTCCTTCCTTCTTTTCATCCCTCCCACTTTACCTATTTCAGTCTCCTAAGTACCATATCTTCAGTTATGTCTTGCCCTTGTACATAGTTGTAGAATTGGTTGCTTTGAATTTTTACTTCTAACCTCCTAGTTTGCTTCTATAAAATTACAAGCATAATATGACCTCATTTTAACCCAATCCTGAGATATAATCAATCTGAGATTAATATTTTCTACATCTAGGAATTTTGCATTTAGGGCTGGAAGGAAAGAAAGAACAAACACTTATCCACAGGCCCCTGAGAGAATATTAATATTAATTATCTAGTTATCTTGGAAGGGTCAATTCTAGTTCTTTTTTTTTTTTTTTTAGTAACAGGGATTGATCTCAGGGGCTCTTGACCACTGAGCCACAGGGTCTCACTGAGTTGCTTAGCACCTTGCTTTTTTCAGAGGCTGGCTTTGAACTTGGGATCCTCCTGTTTCAGTCTCCTGAGCCGCTGGGATTATAGGCATTCGCCACCACGCCGGGCCAATTCTATTTTGTGTGTGTGTGTGTGTGTGTGTGTGTGTGTGTGTGTGGTGGTGGTGGTGGTGGTGCTGGGGATTGAACCCAGGGTCTGTGCTGTGAGGCAAGCACTCTACCAAGTGAGCTATATCCCCAGCCCCTAATTCTAGTTCTTTAAGGTAATCTTTTTATTGAATTTTGGTCTGTTTAAAAGAAGCTATTTTCCTAAGGAATGTTATTTTTTTAAACTTTTTTTAGTTATACATGGACACAATATCTTTATTTTCTTTATTCTATGTAGTGCCGGGAATTGAACCCAATGCCTCATGTGTGGAAGGCAAGTGCTCTGCCACTGAGCCAAAACCACAGCCCAGGAATATTATTTTATACCACACAGAAAAACTCTTCTTCCTCTGAAGTTCCTACAGTAGTTTGTTCAAGAAAAGGATATATCTAGGCCTAAAATTGACATTATGGACCAGGATTAATCTTGTTCAGGAAAATGCTCAATGCTCATAGCCTATGTGACCCAGAAAATACACCCTTTATGAGATTGGCTGTCACCTGTAGGATAAAACCCCAGTACACTTTGTCATAAAAGGCCCTTCATGACCTGACTCTTGCCTTTCCCCTTGTTCTGATCCCTACCCTCTGTGCTTTGTTCAGTCATACTGTTGGTAATTTCCTTAAATACATTTTGCTAGTTCAATCTTCTCCCATTCTGAATGTCCTTTCTTTCCCATATCATTTTGCCCTGTTTTCTTACCAGTCATCTTTTGCCCAGCTTGGAAGCCAGGATGCAGTGGTGCACACCTATGATCCCAGCAACTTAGGGGCTGATGTAGAAGGATTAAAAGTTCAAAGTCAGGCGTAGCAACTTAATGAGACCATAAGCAACTTAGCAAGACCTGTCTCAAAATAAGAAGGGTTGAGAATGTAGCTAAGTAGTTAAGTGCCCCTGGGTTCAATCCCCAGTCCTACCCCCTCACACCTCCACCCCCTGCAAAAAACATCCCAGCTTAGATATTGGTTCTTATTACCTTGTTATGTTATATTGTAAATACATGCAAATATACTTGAGAGTAAGGTTCAAGTTTTACTTTTCTGTAAGTGGACTGCTTACCACAAGGCCTTGGCAAATAGCACTCAATAAATGTTTGTTTAGTTGAATTGAAACATAGTTTATGTGACTAGTAAGTGGGGGCTATAACAGGCTACTAAAATAATTTAGATTGCTGGACATAGTGGCTTATGAGTATAATCTCAGCAACTCAGGAGGCTAAGGCCAATCTCGGCAATTTAGCAAGACGCTTAGCAAAAGGACTGGGGATGCAGTGCGGTGGTAAAGTACCCTTGGGTTCCGTCCCCAACACCAAAGAATATAGTGTAGGTCTTAGAGACATAGTATTTTTATTGCTGTTATCTTTGGAAAAACCACCCTCTTTGGAAAAGTTTAGCATCTTTTCCTTATTCCAATTTCTATTTGTTAGTAATACTCAAGGAAGGGAAGATCGCAGACAGTCTGGATTGCCTTCCTGAAGAACTCCTTCAAGCAATCTGGAGAGAACAGTGGGTGCTAGAGTAAGAAATTCTAGAGCCTTTATCTTTGACCTTGTTAAATTTGCTTATTTGTTAGGATAATGCACTAGCTTTGGAGAGAAGAGTAATGCCTTCCGCAGTTCTAGAGGCTTATTTTTGCTAAGATGCTTTCATTTTATAATCTCATAGGTAATTACGGTACCATTTAAGTGGTGGGGTAGAAAAAATTGAAATAGGGTTGTCAATGGTGGCTAAATTCCTGGTTCTCCTTATTTCTTTTCTTCCCTCATTTTTGTATAATTTTAAATCCTTTTTTTTTTTTGTACTGAGAATTGAACCCAGGGATGCTTAACCATTGAACTAAGTTCCTAACCCTTTTTTATTTTTATTTTGAGACAGGATCTCCTAAGTTGCTTAGGGTCTTGCCAAGTTGCTGAGGCTGGCCTTGAACTTGCCATCCTCCTACTTCAGCCTCCTGAATTGCTGGGATTACAGGTGTGTGCCACCATGCCTGGCTTAAATGCTGTTTTTTTTTTTTTTTTTAAGTATTTATTTTTTAGTTGTAGGTAGACCCAATACCTTTATTTTATTTTATGTGGTGCTTAGGATCAAACCCAGTGTGTCACGCATGCTGGGTGAGTGCCCTACCACTGAGCCACAACCCCAGCCCAAATGCTGTTTTTAAAGATTATTCAACTAACATGCTTTTATGTTTATTGAAAAAGAAAACCACAAGTGTGTATAGAGAAACGATTTAAAGTTCCTCTGCCAATCCCTGAATATTCACGTGTAATCATATATCCACTTAATCCCAGCAACTCAGGATGCTAAACCAGGAGGATTGCAAGTTCAAGGCCAGCCTCAGCCACTTAGCAAGACCCTGACTAAAAAAATACAAAGAATTGGGGATGTAATTTGCTGAAGTGCCCCTGGGTTCAAATGTCAGTACCAAAAAAGAAAAACCAAAAACCAACAACAAAAAAGAGGTTATTTGGGCTGGGGATATAGCTTAGTTGGTAGAGTGCTTGCCTCGCATGCACAAGACCCTGGGTTTGATCCTCAGCACCACCACCAAAAAAAAAAAAAAAAAGTTATTTGATTTACTCCTCTGCCTTTAGAGAAGCAAATTATATCTGTTCATAGGTAAGATAGCTGAGGTCCAGAATATTTTCCCAAGGTGTATAACTAGTTAGTGTCAGAACAGCAACAACAATAAAAACACTATAACTCAAGGTCATTTACTACAAATCCTGTAGTGCATGTGTTTTATTTTCTGAAATTAATTTGTTAGTTAATGATCTTCCTCCTGTTTTTCCATCTCTGTAGGTTCTTTGCACTGACATCCCTACGTCTTGTATTTTTACTTGCATTTGGCTTGATGATCATTGTTTGTATTGATCAATGGAAGAACAAAATCTGGCCTGAGATAAAAGGTGAGTTTGGTAACATCTAGAAAAATCTCAACTGGAAATGGCCTTTTCTGTGATTTTTGCTTCTAGTTTTGGGTTTTTTTGAGGGGCATGTGGAGCTGAGGACCAACTTTTGAAGTCTGAATTATTGCTTTAGGAGACACTTGAAAGGCATGTTCCCCATCTATGGTTTCTTAAACCTGGGTTCTGCCTTTGCTGCTGTTATTAAGTTCAGGAAATACATATCTACCACCTGATATATTATTGTCTAAATAATTGGCCTGAGGAATAAGTAGTCTTTAAAGATTTAAAAAAATAAATCTCCTTATTGAATATACATCTTTACTGAGGCAGCATCAATTTATCCCTCAAGATTTCTTTTAAATTGCTTATTTGCAAGGCAATAAGATAGGAATTATGACTTACAGAAAGTACCTTACGATGGTTTGTTTTTTCAATAATTATACATAAACGTTATAATTATAGAATAATATCAAAGATGTCGCAATGCAGATTGATTGATATATTCATGTGTTTTTGCCCTAGCCAAGCCTTGAATGAAGAAAAACATTGGGCCAGCTGGAGAGAAAAGTGTGTTTCTAGACAGTCCAATAGCTTGGTTAATTTAGGAAACCACAAGCTAGCCAGGCAAGGTGGCACATGCCTATAATCCCAGCAATTTGGGATGCTGAGGTGTGAGGTACTAGAATGGCAAATTAGAGGCCATCCTTTGCAATTTAGTGAGACCCTGTCTCAAAATAAAAAATGGGCTAGGGATATGTCTTAGTGGTAAAGCACCCCGGGTTCAATCCCCAGGACCAGGAAGCAGGGGGTGCAGGGGAGAATACGAAAACAAAATCATAAGCTGCAAAGTATGTCCTAAGAACAGAGAATTGAGCATTTGGCCCAGAGTGAAGAATGCATAAAAGGGAGTGCTAGGAGGTAAAATTCAAAGTACGCTGGAATTAGATTAGGATTTTTATTTTGGGGGTCATACTGGGGATTGAACCCATTGAAATACATCCCAGCCCTTTTTATTTTACTTTGAGACAGGGTCTCACTAAGTTGTCCAGGTTGACCTTGAATTTGAAATCTTCCTGCCTCAGCCACCATAGTTTCTGGGAATACAGGTGTGTGCCACCACCACACTTGGCTCCTCAGCCTTTTTTTTTTTTGCAGGGCAGGGGTGGTACTGGGGATTGAACCCAGGGGTGCTTTATTACTGAGCTACATCCCCAGTCCCTTTTTTTTTTTTTTGAGATAGAATTTTTAAATTTTTATTTTTCAGTTTTCAGTGATACAACATCTTTATTTTATTTTTATGTGGTGCTGAGAATCGAACCCAGCGCCCCATGCATGCCAGGCGAGCACGTTACCGCTTGAGCCACATCCTCAACCCAAGTCCTTTTTATTTTTTATTTTGAGATAGGGTCTTTTAAGTTGTTTAGTTTCTTAATAACTTGTTGAGGCAGGCCTCAAACTTGTGTTCCTTTTGCCTCAGCCTCCCAAGTTGATAGAATTATAAGCTTGTATCACTGTACCCAACTCCTAGCCCTTTTAAAAATTATTTTGAGACAGTTTCTTATAAATTGCCCAGGCTGCTCTTGAATGTAATTGTCCTGTCTCAGCCTCTTGAGTAGGTGGGAGTCCAAGTTTGCACCACCATACCCAGTTAAGGATTAGATTATATAAGCCCTTAAAGTTAGGCTTAGAAGTTTAGATTTTATCCTATAGGTAGTGAGTGTCATTGAAGATTTTTTTGAGTTACAACTATATACTGAGGTGATAGTAAAGATTAATTTGATAGCATTTTAAAAGAGAGAAAAAGAAAGGAGAAGACCTATTAGGAGATTATAGCAGTGTCTTTGTGGGAAGTAGTCAGAAAGACGTCCATGAAAACAAATCATGGATGGCTTAGAGAGTTGTAAAGAAGGAAGATACATCAAGACTAATAAGTAGTCGGATATGGGTTAAAAGAGTAAGTGATAAACCGGGCGTGGTGATGCATGTCTGTAATCCCAATGGTTTGGGAGGTTGAGGCAGGATTGCAAATTCAAGGCCAGACTCAGCAATTTAGTGAGGTTCTAAACAACTGGGTGAGACCCTGTCTCAAAAAATATAAAAAGGGCTGGAGATATGACTCAGTGATCCTGGGTTCAATCCCTAGTACCAAAAAGGAAATAGTGAGAAAAGCCAATTTTAGTGCCAGACATGGTGGCATACTCCTGTAATCCCAGGGAGGCTCAGGCAGGAGGATAGCAAGTTCAAGACCATCTTCTGCAACCTAGTGAGACCCTGTCTCAAAATTTAGAAAAAGGCCTGGGCATGTAGCTCAGAGGTAGAACACTCCTGGCTTCAATCCATAGTACCACCACCACCACCACAACAAATCCAACTTTGGCATTTTAAAAGTAGAAGAGTAGGAGAATGACACATTTGCAGATATTGCCAAAGGCATGCAGGGAAGTCTGTTTAGGTGGAGGTGTGAATGACGAAAATTGATAGTTTGGGTTTTTTTTGTTTTTTTCCCCTTCCCCTTAGCAAAGTTTATTGAAAAGAAAAAAGGGGAGGAAAATATCCTCAAGGGAGAGAGTGCATCTTCTCAGAGAGGAGAGTGACTTGATATAGGTTTTAGACATGTTAATGTTGAAGTGTTGGCAAGACATTCGAACTAAGTTATACAACTTTTAAATACATTCCCATCCTGTTTTATAGAGACTTTAAGGAATCGTGTAGTTTGTCTGCTGGTTTCATGACTAGTGAATGTCAAAAGACTTTACATCATTCGGGGTAAATAATGGGTGTCTCTTTGAAGAGAATAGATAGATTTCTAGGGTTGGAGTAGTTATAACATGCTTCTGTAGCCTGGCACACATTGATGTGTATGAGCAATCCAGACACACTCAAGATGGGATGGACCGTTTTTCTTGTGTAGGTAATTATAAAGGGTCTCTAGTGGTCCATTTGGACCATACTCCCTTTATCCCCACAAAATGAGCCAAGCATAAGCCTTATTTCCTTGTTTGAACAGGCATAGCAGTTACTCCCTTGTCCCACACTTGTTCTACAGCTCCCTAACTCTGGCAATATAACATGGTGTCTCCTTTTTATTGGTTATTACTGTTTTCTTTTCCCTGAACCCATTAAAACTTGAGCTGTCAGACCAACAGCCTAACATTTTCATGTTTAGTTTTCCCTACCAACTAATGCTGGTGTTTGTTTTAATATTGTAGTGCCAAGACCCGACGCATTAGACAATGAGAGGTATGGAACACTAATTAAATCCCTTTTTGTTGCTCTGATTTATTCTCTTGTAATATTCTGGTTACATGTTGTTAACCTCATGTTCTGGACACACAGTGTAACTGAGAAACCTAGTCTTTTCCAAATAATCATTTTAACAAATCCTAAAGTTTAGATAGCAATATGTTGAGATGGCCAATGTTTGCTGATCTTCATAAGAGAAGTTTCTGAAAAATCAGCATTACAGAGCCCCATAACCTAACATGCCAGGGAATTAGCTGTGATATGCAGCCCCAGTGTGAAAAATTAAAGGCAACTAACATCATTTGTCTCCTGGCTTTTATACCAGGTCATTTCGTGTTTTCTGTGACCTCTGGCTATTTAAAGTTCCTGGTCAGAAAACACATTGGTTCCTGGCATCAACAAGCCAATGCCAAAGATTCCTCTTGTGTCTTACAGCTCCTGCTTCATTTCTCAGTTCATCCACCCCATATGTTTTGTCCAAGGAATTTTCTCTGCTGTGGTTTATTTTGGTTTTGCTTTATTTATTTTGAGGGGCACGTCCACCATTGCCCTCCCTCTAGCAGCAGTGGTGTCAGTCAGACTGTGCTTTACTTGTGTCTCTGAATTGCAATTATAGTGAATTGCAATTATCTGAGTGTGGGGAAAAAAATGTTTCTAAGCACAAAGGGCCTTGGAGCTGGTGGCAGGTTTATACACGTGGATTGGGCCACTTGCTCATAGGGTGGAGTTGTCAGAACAAGTTTGCCCTCCTAGTCCCTAAATTCAAGTTTCAACCTGATGAGCCAAGAAGAAAGTCATGCTTCACCTCCAATGCACCTGGGACTAGCCACTCCCCATCCCCTGTTTAAACCGGAAGCACTGATTGCCTGCACAGCAAGATGGGGGGACCTTTAACACCCTCCTTTCACAGCTCCCCCTTCTCTCTCCCATAGCTGGGGCTTTGTGCACCCTCGGTTGCTCAGCGTGCCCGAGCTCTGCCACCATGTAGCTGAAGTCTGGGTTAGTGGGACCATTTTCATAAGGAATCTTTTGCTTTTCAAAAAGCAAAACCCAGGCAAGGTAAGATTCTCCCCTTTTTCACTTTCATCTGTAGCTTCTCAGTTGAATTTATGCTAAATTGAAACAGTTCCTTTACTGTATATCTTCATTCAATAAAGAAAAGACTGCTGTAGTTGTAGAAACAGAGGGAAGTTGTAGGATGGTACTTCTGACTGACATTAGGACTAAGGAAAGAGATTGATGACTTGGTTGGTGTGCTTGTCACCTAGAGTAGGCCATTTTCTTTTTTTTTCTTTTTTTGCGGTGCTGGGGATCAAACCCCAGGCCTCATGCATGCTAGGCTAGGCAAGCACTTTACCACTGAGCTGCACTCCTAATCCCCATAGAGTAAGCTATTTTCTTGCCCTAAAACAGGAAAGAAAGCTTGCTTCTGTGCATTCTGTGTCATACTAAACATGTGGTAGGTTGTTGGGTTTTATTTATTTATTTATTTATTTATTGTCTTCTGTTTTGTTATTTTGACTTAAAAATCCCACCCACCAGCACTTGCTTTCAGAGAGAATTTTTGGCTAAGTCCTATTCAAACCAGTTTCCCGGCATGAAAGGTATTGCTATATGGGGTTAGCCAAGTAAAAGGAGTTTGAATAGAAGGAAATATCCTTCTTTTCCTCCTGAACAGGATCATCTTTGGATGTAAGAGTAGCTACATCTTTTCTTCTGACATGTCTATGTTTGGCTCTAGAACATAAAGCATCTTCAGTCACATTTCCTCTGTAATTCCCCATCCACACCGAATTTTATTTCTTAACCTTCCCAGTTCTGCTTGCTGAGCTGTGGGATACTGACATTTATGGCTGTCTTGGGTCGCTACATCCCTGGGCTTCTGCTATCTTACTTGATGCGTAAGTATGGTATATACCTCCCCTTTAAGCAGTACCTTGCTCATAGCTTTTGCAACCCACAGCTTACCCTGGATTGAGGGAGAGAGGTTTTATATCTTGGTTCTCTAGAAAGTGACCTTCCTGTATTTATATTGCCTGTTTAGTGTCATGAAAATGTCTTTTCACCTGTAGCAGCGTCTCCACATATAAAGTCATTTCATTTCTTTTCTTTGTGGTGCTGGGAATCAAACCCAGGGCCTCATACATTGCTGGGCAGGTGCTCTATCACTGAACTATAGCCTCAGCTCGTATCCATTTCTTACTAAGTCAGTTTTAGAAATTGATAAGGGTGTATGGATATGGTGGCATACTCCTATAATCTGAGTTACTCAGGAGGCTGAGGCAGGAGGATTGCAAGTTCAAGGCCAGTCTGGCAACTTAGCAAGACCCTGTCTCAAAATAAAAAGAGCAAGGCTCTACCACTGTAGCTCAATGGTAGAGTGCCCTTGGGTTCAACCCCCAGTATTGGGGGGAAAAAATAATGAGGTTCCACTAACATATGTGAATATATGATACATCCTACTATAAAGGATTGTCTGTCCCTGTAAAGGAGGGAGTTTATAAAACATGATTCTTAGAGTTCCTCAATTAGGATCTGTTTACCCTGGACCACTCTTTTCCTCCTTAGAGTACATTTTATTTATATCAATTTAGTTGTTTCCTCTTGGTATGTATTCTGCTTAGAACTGAAAGAACTGAGTAGTTCCAGCTGTGGCTATTATACATCAGAACTTCACATGATTGATTATGTAGTTTCTGAGGCATTGTTACCATTTGGCCTTGTTTATGGCTCAGTGACACCCCTATGTAAGTGACCATACTACCAGGTTCTGTCCTTGGGCTGTCAGCAGTATACTGTGCTGTGCATAGCTCTGTACTAGACCTTGTGGGTGGCTACAGAAATCCCTGCCCTCAAACTTCCCACGGGAGACTCAAGAAGATGACCAGCAGAATTAAGCACATTTATTCCATACTAAATGTTCAAGCCCTAAGGACATAACAGACACAAAGAACAAGAGTTAGGATTTCTTCTAGTAGCCCTTTCTTCATTTTGCTACTGTTCCCACTCCTACTCTCAGTTGTCACTGTCATGATGTGGCCCCTTGCTGTGTACCATCGACTGTGGGATCGAGCCTATGTACGGCTGAAGCCAGCTCTGCAGCGGCTGGATTTCAGTGTCCGTGGCTACATGATGTCCAAGCAGAGAGATAGACAATGTAAGTGTCATGGGGAGATTTCTTTCCACTTGGGAAGTGTGGGGAAGAGAACGAAAAGCCCATAGGTCTGACATACGGGTTAGGTGGGAGAAGTGGGAGAAGCTAGAAATGGCTTGTGGGGGTGGAGAGTGGTAAATAAAATCAATATTCTATTCCAGGGAAATCTATGCAGGTTTGCCAGCTTTCCTCATTTGGAGTCCCAGACTTGCCCTTTAATCTGAGAAAAATTCTCACCAGTTGAATGAAAGAAATTTGAAGATGGCCCTGATATTATCTGCCATTTATGAAGCATTTCCCATGCATGGCTATTCATGGCTCTTCATTCATCATTTTATTTAACCATTTACAACCTTGAGAAGTGGGTGTTCCATTTGAGGAAGTTGAGGCTCACAGTTAGTAAATGTCAGTACAGGTCTTTCCAAATCAACCTGGCCTCTCATCACTACCAAAAGCTGCCTTTCAAATGAGATTAAAAACTGCCATCTTTCAGGCTGGAGGTGTACCAGCTTGAGATCCATCCAAAACATTCGTGATAGAGGAGCAAACTTTTCATTCTCTTAGGTCTTGTCAGGTTGAGTGTTTCATTAAGCCCTGGCCTTTATAGAGCCCTACATGTGGTCATCAAGACCCAGCTTATCCTGGGCCAGCCAGTTGAATACTATCAGTCCTCAAAAGCCTAATTTAACCAAAGTTGGTATCTCCTTTTGCCCTCTATTATAGTGTCCACTTGCTACCTTAACATTAAGTCTGCCCTAGCTGATCCTGAGGTGTTTACCAGCCTTGTAGTAACTGACTAGAACAGAAACATGGGGATTCGTAGAAGGAAGATGTTGGAAGAGAGATTTCTCTCCTGTGTTATCAACTCATCTTGCCACTTAGGGCTCAGCAGCCTCACCCTCATTTACTGTTATATAGGCATAAGGGTCATATTCAGAGGATCTCTTTTATGTTCTGATTTTATGCCTTTTAAGTCCAAAGAGGGTTTTTTCCCCTCAAGTGAAGGCATCAAGGCTCTGCTCTTTCCACATAGTGCGTCGCAGAGCTCTATACCCAGAACGTACCATGGACAACCATAGTGACAGTGAAGAGGAGCTTGCTGCCTTCTGTCCTCAGGTAACTTGAATGTGGGAGTACTCCACTGGCCAGTTTTTTTTAGGTTCCCTTTTATACATCTGGCAGCTTACATTTAGGCAGTAACCAGATTTCAAGACCCCAGAATCCCCTTGCTCCTGAGAGCAGTGACAAGGAGTGAAATAAGTGTTACATTGGGACTTTGTATCCAGATTTCAACTTGGGCCTGGTGACCAGCACACTCCCTCCCACATCTCCTTTTGCCCTACCATCATGGAGAATTTCTGGAGCTGGTATGATCATTTTTTAAACACCTAGCCCACCTTTAGGTTCTGGCAGAATGTCTCTTCCCGGTCACCTGTGAAAAGTAATCTCATAGTCAGTTACATTTGTGTGTGTTGCGGGTGAGGGGGTGTCAGTTCTTAAGAATTTAAGTAGCTAATTGATTCCCAAGACTGCTGTTCTTTCTATGTTTAAGAGATGGACAATTAAGAGCATTTTCTTTGGGTGTGAATAACCTAAAAGGAGTCAAGATTTTGAATAAAGTCCCCATCTCTCCCTGGTTACACTGATGGCCTTGGGGGGTAGCCTCAAAATTAGTAGAGCTATAACTAGGAACTGCTTCTGATTCTAATGGCATTATCTCTTCAGATTTGTTGGTCTTTTCTTTTTCTAAGCTGGATGATTCTGCTGTTGCCAGGGAATTGGCTATCACTGACTCAGAACACTCAGATGCTGAGGTCTCCTGTGCAGACAATGGCACATTCAATCTTTCCAGGGGCCAAACACCTCTAACAGAAGGTTCTGAAGGTGAGGAGAACCTCTGACCTGGGTTGATAGTGGCTCTGACTGTTGCTTCTCAGCTTCCCTGGACAGAGGGGATACAGGCACCCCCACACCACGCTTGTCTCCTATGCTGTGGCAGAGCAGCCTAAGGGGTGTGGGTGCATCCAGGATGGCACTGCTACTCTCATTGAAGCCCTCAGTCCCTTAGTAGACTTAGTCTCAACCTCATGGGCACAGGAGAGGAACAGGGGGCGGGAATTCTCTGGCTAGTAGTGATCATAACCATCTATGAGTAGAGAAGAGCTAACTAGTCCCATGGGTTTTGCTTCATCATGAGATACCCAGGGTGAGAAAAATATGGTTATGTGGCTTGACATTTTGTGAGTCTGGAGCACTGGAGGACCAGGTAGTTGCCGTGTCTAATATACCCTGTATTCTCTCAGACCTAGATGGTCATAGTGATCCAGAGGAATCCTTTGCCCGAGACCTTCCAGACTTCCCTTCCATTAATGTGGACCCTGCTGGCCTGGATGATGAGGATGATACCAGCATTGGGATGCCTAGCTTGATGTACCGTTCTGCACCAGGAGCTGAGGATCCCCAGGTTCTCCCTTCCAGCCGGGATGAGGCTATACTGCCAGAGCTCCTGCTTGGTGCCCTGCCTGTAGGATCCAACCTCACCAGCAACCTTGCCAGCCTGGTCTCCCAGGGTATGATCCAGCTGGCCATGTCAGGAGCCTCCCAATCAGGCCCTTCTGGCCCACCTCCCCGGAGAGCAACAAGAGGCTTCCTCAGAGCCCCTAGTTCAGACCTGGACACTGATGCTGAGGGAGATGACTTTGAACTTCTGGACCAGTCAGAGCTGAATCAGCTGGACCCTGCCAGTTCTAGGAGCCAATGAGGAGACAGACTCCTTTTAGGGGGTCATTGTGGTTTAGGTTTTTTTTTTTTTTTTCCCTCCACTTAGGGTGATGGGGCAGGGGAAGAACCCAGGTCCCATCTCCTGAATGATATTTGTATGCTGGGTGGCCTGACTGATGCTCAGAGGCCTGTTTAGAGAGGATACTCCTTCCCCTACTACCAGCTGGACATCCATTTCTGTGCTTAGGCATCGAACTAAGAGTGTGCTCTCCTAAAGGAGGCTTCTCTCCATCAGGATGGTACTTTGGGGAACAAAGTCAGGGATATTGGTTCCTTTTTGAGAAGTGCTGCTGTTTGCTTTTAGGTCTGGGTGCTCAGGGGCCCTCAATGATAGAAGAGTCCCTTTCTTTCCTTCCCTTGCCTCCCTAAAACCCCCCAAAATCAGGCAGCAGCTGGAAGAGTTGTCATCTTCTGTCAGACCATGCTTTGATTTGTTTTTTCAAAGCACACTTGTCCTTTGGTTCTGCAAAGCAGACCTGTTCCCTCTTCCTTTAGCTTGTCCTCATTTCTTGAGGGCTGACTCCCAGTGTTCCAAAATAAGGCTTGTGAAATTTAAGAAATGTGAACATGATGTAGGGATGGGAGTCTTCTACATTACCTTGGGCCAATAGGGGTCAACTGGCTGGGAGGGTTTGTGAGCGCTTCTGTGTCTTGAGGTCTCGCTGAATCTTCCGAAGCTATGTGGTTGTCTTTGGTGCTGCTAACCCCTGGCTCTATTTGACCAACAGTCTGAGCAGTGAGCAAAGCAATACCATACTCAATTATATGTTCTCTTCCTTCCTCTGCTCCTCCTCTGGAGAAGCAATAATTCCATGGGGGATGGCAAAGTAGCACTTTACAAATGGCTCTGTGGCATTCATCCTAGGAGCCACAGCTCTTCTTGCACCAGCTCCTTTACTGCTTTTATTTTCAATTGCTTTCCAATTTGGCAGGACTTTCTTTAAGGATGAGCCCAGATAGCAAGAATTATGTCTGTGCAGCAGAGACCCCTCTAAGGGTATCTGTTCTGCAACCCTTAGTAATATAATGCAAGACAAAAACCCAAAAATATTTGGTTCTAAACCTGTGCCAGCCTACTCCCTCTCTGCCTCCATAATCAGAGCTCAAGCCAAACTCTGCTGTCCTCTTTCCCTCTTGTATTAATCCTTTGCCGATCCTCAGGGACTACTCCCCCGACACCCCCATTCTTGGGTGAGGATGTTGGACAGAGCCCATTTTCATGTGCTGCAGGTGGGAGTGTACTAACATGTTTGCTCTTGGTTGATGGACAAAGTACAGAGGCCAGGGAGTGAAAACGGTTAACAGTGAAAAGGGGAAGAGCTAGGTGCCTGTTTGATAGTCACTTATGTGTGAAGGTTAGGGGTAATGGCATTTCCTCACTTTAGGTTCTCAAACAATTTGGATGTCATCGCTCTTTCCAGAGTCCAGATGTCTTACAGATGAGCTCTGATGTGGAAAAAAAAATGGGAGGTGTGGGAAAGGAGTGGGATTTTGTGGGTTTGCATGAGTGTGTAGCTTCAGGCCTTGGGAGTTGGCAAGAGGGAGGGAAGGAAGAAGAGCAAAACATTTGGAAAGTCTTTTACTGGGGGATCCTGCTCTGAATCTCCTTAAATCCTCCACTGTGAATTGAGGGTGGGTGGGTGGGTGAGTGCTGGGGAATAAATCTTGTATGAGAACAATCTCAGACTGATGTTGAGTGGTGTCCTTCCTTGATAGATTAGGTCTCCTCTTGCGAATCTGAGTTTTGGTTAATTTGAGGTGACAGCCTCAGAAGAGGAACCCCAGGTGTTAGGAACCCACCCATCCCTGTTTTTCCTTTGTGATGGCCAGAACAATCACCACAGTATGAGGCCACTTCCTCTCCTGGTAGAGCCCAGACATGAGTATAACTGACCTCCCGACTGGTATTTAGCTAGCAGTTCCATCATTTCTAATACCTAATTTTTGTCCCCTAAACATAGACAAGCACAAGTTTTAAATAAAGGCTAATAAAGTTTTGGGTAGAAAAAGGCTTCAAAAGTAGCATCATGCTCCTTTAGAATCTTTGAGCCTCAAGGACAGCTGCTCTTCGGCCTTCAGCTGACCTCAGAAACTAGAAAGACTTATTTCAGGCTCTGTCCTGCTGGCCACTGTGGTTCGGAGTGGAAAGCACCTGCCAGGTGTTGCCGTGAGACAGCTTGGGCTAACGCTTTTCTACAAGCTTTGTGGCTTAAGACTACTCCCCCACGCCCCCACCCAGGGCCCCTAGCCCTCCCTTTCCTCAGGTCTCAAACCATAGTAGGTGTCGAGCGCCCCCTGTGTGTGAAGCTCGGTAACGAGCAAATAAGGAGTGTGGCTTGCTTTAAAAAAAAAAAAAATTATATTTATGTGGTGCTGAGGCTGGAACCCAGTGCCTCGTGCATGCTAGGTGAGCGCTCTACCACTGAACCCCAGCCCCAGCCCCCAGAGTGTGGTTTTTCAAAACTCCCCTCCTCCAAGTACCTATCGGTCTTATTTTTCAAGTGATAAAGCTGCCGAAAGTGCACTGGACCGTGGGATCAGAACACGTTCATTGAAGGTAACTAGCTCTGTGTGTGACCTTGAACTAGTCATTTGCCCAGTGCGGGAGTTGATCCCTGAAATTTCTTCCGGTTTCAACTCTGGGAACAGGAAGATCTCAAGGTCGCGAGTGCTCAGCTGCGGCTAGAAGTAGATCTCAAAAACTTGTAGGCGTTGTTTACTACAGCTTTCGTTTCAGGGTCGGGGGGTGCCTGTCGCTGCCGCCTCACACCCGGGTCGTGGAAGGGTCAAGCTTTGGTGCGCAAGCTCCCGGCTGAACTGAACTACGGCGTCCGGGCTGGGCCGCGGAGTTCCGCGGAAATCCTTCCCCTTCAGCCAATCACTGCTTGAGGCCCTCCCGCGTTGCCGGAAAGAGCTGTAGCCCCGAGCAACTACGACGTCTGGCTTTCTGAATTTGGCGGCGGGAAAGGCCATGAGTAAAGCCCGGGCAGAAGCTGCGGCGGGAGGTAACGGAGCGCTAGCACGATTCGGGAGGGGAGCGGGAGAGACCGGCCTAGTGACACGGTCTCGTCTCACCGTCTCGTCTCTCTCCGCAGCCCCTGGCCTCCTCCTGAAGTACCTGCAGGAGCAGAACCGGCCCTATAGCGCCCAGGATGTATTCGGGAACCTGCAGAAGGAACACGGTCTGGGCAAGGCGGTGAGGACCTTTGAGGATTCCCTCCCCGCGGAGCTCCTGTAATCAGGCTGGGTTCCTGACCTCCCGGGGCTTCCGCCCTCTCCCATTACTGGCTGAAATCTCCCCTGCCTGGGCCCAAAGACTCCTCTTATTGCCCTCCCTTCCCTTCTGCCAGGCGGTGGTGAAGGCGCTGGAGCAGCTGGCCCAACAAGGCAAGATCAAAGAGAAGATGTACGGCAAGCAGAAGATCTATTTTGCGGATCAGGTGAGGAGAGCCTGCGCACATTATGACCTATATCAGATCCCAACACTGAATCAACTAGTATCAACTCTTTGGCACCCCACCAGCGCTCTACCACTGAGTCACAACCCTGCCCTGGGATTTGTATTCTTTAGCCTAGACCTTCACTTGGATGTCTCTGACTTCAGTATCAGAATCAATCCTGCAAAAGAAGAATGCCTTCCTAACTGGCTCCTCCCTAGCATTCTTCTCCCTTAGTGGAATCACTTTTCACCCAAACCAGAGACTTGAGAGTAATTCCTGACTTTTCCCCTGCAATGTCTAGTCCATCAAGTAGAGCTGATTTTTTTCTTGAGTCCAATTTCCTTTCCCTCTGCTATCACTGCTCTAGTCCAGGCCTTGTTGTCTACTAATGTCCCCCCAAAAGATCTCACCTCCTCGAACATGTCTTGAACACTACAGCCAGAATCATCTATCTAAATGCAAATATGATCATGTACCATCCCCTACATAAAACTCTTAAATGCCTCATGTGTGCTCCATAGAACAGGTAAAAGGCACCTGAAGACTTGCTGCAGCCAGCCTCTGGCTTCACCTGCCCTTATTATTTCTTCACCCATCAATACTAAACAATTTAGGTATGTTTTATTCCTCTGTCCCTTGCTTTTCCTCCTTCTGCCTCTGCCCACTTAAATCTTATTCAGTCCTTTGAAATTTCACTCAGTCCCCACTCTCTCCAGAAACCCAGAAATGCTCTCCAGAAGGAGGAGCCAACTTCTCCTTTTTCAGGCTCTTATGCCTTTTGAGTCATGAGGTATATAATTTTCTTTCTACTTGTCTCCCTCACTAAACTAAGGTTCCTCTGGGCAGACCTCATTTTGTGTTCATCTTTGTTGACTCATTACCCCAGTATCTAACATCTAAAAGACATTACTCGTTTAATTGAAGTAAAGTATAACAAATTACTACTCTATTGAGAATTATCTAAAAGAGGGGTTGGCAAACTTCTGTAAAGGGCTTCACAGTATTTTAGCTTTGCAGGCCCTATGGTCTTTTTCAAAAACATGCAGAATTTAGTTTGCTGTTTGCAGGTCCCTGCTGTAAACATTTATCTTGCCTATGCATAAAGTCTAAACTGCCCAAGCTGGCATTCCCATCCTTGCTAGACTGGGTCCTATTCCCAGGTGATGTGACTCTCACTGATCTGCAATAGGTTTTGTTTTTTATGATGCTGAGGCCTGAACACAGGGCCTTACTATGCTTAGATAAATGCTCTACCAACTGAACTCCACCCTAGGGTAATCCTTTTCTAGCAGCCTCTCATGAGAGGGGCTCCTTAGACTTCCATTAGAATCCCTTATCTAAATAGAGCCTCTTGTGCTTCTTCACTTGTAAGATTCTTTGGGTTTCCCGACTCCCCCTACTCCCTCTAGGCAAGGATGAAACCCAGGACTTTGTATGTGCTAGGCAAGCACTTTGCCACTGAGCTACATCTCCAACTCCATTAGATTCTACCTATTGCTGAAACTCATGATCTAGGTGTCCCCACCTTGGTAAGAATGTTTCTTTACTCCTTTAGCCCAGTGAGTAGGTTTTATCACTAATGGAAAGATGTTTCTGTCCTATTTATTATCCTGCCAACCTGGACGCTCTTTGAGGTTAGGCATTAGGTTTCAACTTTTTTTACACATTTTCATTGGGACCAGTATTCAAATGAATGACTTGTTACTGCCTTCCTGATATTTTTTTTTCCTTTTTATGCCTCACATTAATTCATTTATACTTTTTCTCTTGTCTCTGGCAGAACCAGTTTGAAATGGTGAGTGATGCTGACCTTCACAGCCTGGATGCCAAAATCGTGGCCCTCACTGCCAAGGTGCAGAGCTTGCAGCAGAGTTGCCGCCACATGGAGGCTGGTAGGACTGGGGAGCCCTTGCAAGGTGCCCATAGGGCCAAGTTCAGTGTGGAGGTCAGGAACTGCTAAGTGAATGGCTCACTGATTACAGTGTCTTGTTGCAGAGAAGACCACTTTGCTGGGCCGCCTCAGGCATTACATTAAAAGAAATGTAGAGCTAGGTGCAGTGGTGCACGCCTATAATTCCAGTGGCTTGGGAGGCTGAGACAGGAGGATCGCGAGTTCAGTGCCATCCTGAGCAAAAATCAAGGTGCTAAGCAACTCAGTGAGACCCTGTGTCTAAATAAAACACAAAATAGGTCTGGGCATGTGGCTCAGTGGTTAAGTGTCCCTGAGTTCAATCCCCCGTACCAAAAAAAAAGAAAGAAAGAAAAATGTAGAATCACTAATGGCTTTTGTGTACAAATGGGCAAGACATGCATTTGCTTCCTCTGCCGTGATCTTCAGCACACTGCCCCCATGTTTTCCTCTATTCCTGCTTTAACTGGCTACACATTAGTCTGCTCAACCTCATGGCCCACTACTTGTAGCTGGAAGACAAAGAAAAATAGAATGAACTGGTGACTCTGTAAGCCTTATTTTCCTGAATGTGGGGTCTTATTCTAGTAGATCTCAGAGCAAGGTAGAATTCACATTCCTACTTCAAAGAGTACCCCCTGACTGGGAAAGACAGAACCTCTCTGTCAGGGGTGGCAAGTGACCTCAGGAGGATGTGGTTTCAGAGCTGAAGGAGTTAACTAGTGCCCTGACTACTCCGGAGATGCAGAAAGAGATTGAGGAGTTAAAGAAGGAATGTGCTGGCTACCTAGAGAGATTGAAGAACATCAAAGCTGCCACCAACCATGTCACTCCAGAGGAGAAAGAGCAGGTGAGCTGGGAGGAAGGCTAGAGTTGCTTGCGCAGGATTGAGGACAAGGGTTGATCCTCAACAGGTAACTGTGGGCCTGAGGGATTTAGAGTAACCTGTTTCTTCTTTCTAGGTTTACAGAGACAGGCAGAAATACTGTAAGGAGTGGAGGAAGCGGAAGAGAATGGTGAGTTGGAGCTCCAAGGGAGGCTCTGGGAGTGCTTTAAAAAAATGGCAGCCACAAAGAAATTGCTGCCCAATGTCATGGTCTGACAGTTAGTGCCCAGTGTTGCCCACCTAAAAAGGGGTGGTTTTGCTGGGCGTGGTGGCACATGCCTGTAATCCCAGTGACTCTCTGGAGGCTAAGGCCAGGAAGATTGTTGAGTTCAAAGTCAGCCCTCAGCAAAAGTGAGGTGCTAAGCAACTCAGTGAGACCCTGACTCTAAATATAAAATAGTCCTGGAGATGTAGCTCAGTGGCTGAGTGCCCCTGAGTCCAATCCCCGGTACCCCAAAAATAAAAAGAGGTGGTTTTGTTTCATCAGGCAACAGAGCTATCCGATGCAATCCTTGAAGGCTACCCTAAGAGCAAGAAGCAATTCTTTGTAAGTGGCCCTCTCTCCCTTCCTCCCCTAGGGCCATCACCCTGGGATGTCTCATTCACTTCTGTCTCTGTCCTACAGGAGGAAGTTGGGATAGAGACAGATGAAGATTATAAAGTCACACTCCCAGATCCCTGAGGGGGCCCTCTGTGAAAACTGGAGGATGGAAACACAGAGATGCTAGGACTGGCCACTTTTGTTTAGAATGGCTTTTTTTTGTTGTTCCTGCTGCGCTTCACCTTGGAGAATAGTGAGAAGAGAGGCACTAGCCCAGTGCATTGGGAAGAGGGAGGGCTGGTGGCCAGGAAAGGATGGTCACACCCATTTCATTTTCCACATTTTAACAACTTGAACTTAACATGCACACTTAGAATGAAGCTAAAAGAAAGCATTTTATAATATTTATTGTGATATAATTTGATATAAAAATATTTAATGTCCTCTGAATATTCAAACCTCCCAGACATCAAACCTGAAGAAAGCAGCAGGGAGCTTGGGAAATAAAGTAGAGACAGGCTGCTATACCTCAGCATTTGAGAAGCCTAAGACATCCCCCAGTACTTTCATCCCAGGACACATTTTGATTATTTTCTGTACCCTTTCCCCCCACTCCTAAGTCCTGGGAGAAGTGCAGACAGCACTGGGTGATGATAGAGAAACTGGACAGAAAGACTGAGGTGGTTTTGAGGCCCAGAAACTGTACTGAAGTTGCATTGTTGATGTTTAGAAAAATAAAAAATTTCAAGTTTGTAGTGCTGTGTCTCATCTGCCTTTGCTGTGCAGGACTACTGCTGGGGAACAGGGCAAGGATGGATAGGGAGGAAGGAGGTGATGGAACATAAGGCAAAAATAGAAACCCAATAGCCCTGCCCTCAGCTGGCCAGAAAGCTCCAGTCTCATCTTAGACTAACCAGGCAGCCCTAGTCTAAGCCTTTCAACCTTCATGGCTGTGGGACTATTTCCTCTCACTCCTTTTTTCCCACCCAACTACTTCTAAAACATCCATGCTTGAGTCATGTTACCCAAGAAACCAAAACAGGCAGTTTCCATGTACACACAAATCATGAACAGAAATCCGAGGTTTAGAGAAAGAGCTGAAAGGCCAGGAGTTCTTTGGGATACTCAGAACAGACTCCGGTCCTGAGGACTTACAGGGAGAAGAAGACTGGGTAGGTTTGACTTTATGGTCAATATAATAAATTAATCAGAAGCTTTCACAAAACAAAACCCCTAACTCCACTGAAGATGAAGTGAAGCTGGGAAGCCCAAACACCAAGTAGAAACCAGCTGACTGGTGTGAGGTGTCACAGTCCAATCTCAGGCCCAGCAGTCCCAAGACCAAATAGGAAACTCAAAAATCTCTTGCTGGCCATTCTGCATGTTTCCAAGAGCCATCAGTAAAGTTGATTTTTCAATTGATGCAGGACGCCAATCACGATCTCCCGCAGGGTCTGGTGAGGGCAGCAGAAAACAAAGCTCAGGAAGGTACAGAGCTACCTTTTGACATGCTCTTTAAGAAAAGTGCATTAAAGAGCTAGGGGTGTAGTTCAGTGGTAGAACACTTGCCTGGGGGATTCTATCCCCAGCATGGCAAAAAATAACAAAACTGCATGGAAAGAGGTATATGATAAAGCAAGTATAATAAAATGTTACTGGTAGAAGGCAGTTAACTTTTCTTAAATATTTTTTTTTGGTTGTAGGTGGACACAATGCCTTTATTTTTTATTTATTCATATATGGTGCTGAGGATTGAACCCAGCGCCCCATATGCACTAGGCAGGCATTCTACCGCTGAGCTACAACCCCAGTCCCAGCAGTTAATTATTCTAAAATTCAATGTTGCAGTATGTTTAAAGCATTTCACAATTATAATGTTGGGAAACAAATAAGTCTTGAATACAAGTTCAAGCCTTGAGAAAAAGCAGCCAGGCTTTAGAAGCAGAAGATAGTTCAATACCATTAATATATCTCTTCTTACAAATAAACAATCAAAAGCTCTTGGGGCAACTATTTTAATGGGCCTGGGAGTGAGGGCCTGAAATCTGCATGTTTCCAAAAACTGTAGGTAACTGCTGCAGGTGATCAGGGCTTCCACACAAGGCAGCCAAAGAATGATACATGAGGCAGCAATAGTGTAACATGGGTTAAACAAAAGCCAAGAGAGGGCTCTGGCATTGAGTGCTCACACCATACTTGCCAATGAGACCTTAATGTGAAAATCTCGGCTGGAAGCACAGAAGATAACAGAATACTGAAAGTTGAAAGACACTTAAAGTGGCTATCCTACTTTTCTGAACAAAAAGTGGCTTTGTTCACTATATCTGAGGGTAATGTTAGAACCCCAGATCATTTCTGTCCCATACCTGAGGCTTACAGTGCTCCTCAATCCAGCTGAAAACACAAGCTGATAGCTCTTGGAAGCTGGCCACAGAGATGGAGGCATTGAAGGACTCAAACAGGGAGTCCATGACACCTTGAAACACATTAAACTTGTCCTGGTCAGAGACCTGGTCCTCTCCCTCATGGGGGTTGTCCTGATGTGCCTTCACAATCTGCTCATAGTTTCTGAAAGCAAATAGGCATAGATGAGGTGCTATAGCAGCTCCCCACCACCCAGGAAAAAAATGATGAGGTTGCTCTATGCACTTGCCCACCACCCCTCCTTTCATTGGAGTTTTGGGGATGTATTCAATACTACTACCAGGTCAGAAATGGTGAGTCTCCAGCTGTCCTTCACTAACAGGCGTTTTCTGAATGCCATATATAAGGTGCTATCTGGGATACAGTCTTGCTTCACAGTGGCTGACTCAGGTAGTGCGAATATTATCTACACATATTACCTGGTGTAGCCTTTGCACAAGGCAAAGGTGTGTGCCGCAGTCAGCCTCAGTCCCCTCAGAAGCTAATTTCCCCAGTTCAGCACCCCTCTTACACTTTCATTATCTTTAGGGCTGTGACATCCTTGCGTAGTGTAGACACCTCCTCTTCCTGCTTTTTCTTCTCCTTGTGTAAAAACTGGATGTAGTCGATGGCTGGGGTGGAAGCAGAGGAAATCTCAACCAGGAGAACAAAACTGAATTTGATTTCCCTCCTCCACACCCATTATCCCATTACAACCACCACACCAGGACCAGGCCTGGGATGGGTATGTAGTGCTGCCCTCTTCACAGCCCCTGTTGGCTCCACCCCTCAGTTCTCTCCCCGTCCATACTCTTCTGTAGAACGATGGCTTTGCTGAGCTTTTGAGAGCCAATGGAGAAGTCCTGCTGCTGGCAGGTGGGGACGATGGTCTGAAGGTCATCATAGCCTCTCTGTGGAAACAACATGAGAAAGGGGATCCTTAACCCTGAGGGATTAAGTCAAGATGGCACAAAGCTTCCATGACACCAGTTCCATTCTCACAAACTGCGGGGGGTGGGGGTGGAAAGAAGATGTTCATGCCCAGGGACTAGATCATGCACAGCTCCTGGAAAGATGATGTTCATGCCCAGGGACTATATCAGCTCACCCGTAAGGCTATTTGGAGCTGTTTGAGGTGGTCTGGGCAGAGAAAATCTAAAATACATAGCGCCCCCCCCCCCCCAATCACCTTGATGGCGTCCCTCCTCTTCTGCTCCGACTGGGTATGTGCTCGCCGCCGGCGGTCTTTGTAAGATTCCTTGTAGGACTCCTGGTGGTAATCACTGTCCTCATCATCTACGCTCAGAGTTGGGGGCAGGGAGAGGTCACCTTAGGGCCCAGTGGGGCCCAGCTAGCCCACCTTTCCCTGATGGGAAGAACCCAGTGCCCAGAGATGGCAGATGGGCAAAGAATCAGTCAAATATCCTGGATGAGGTAAAAGACACACCCTGTGTCTGGCACTCAAGACTCCAACACCCCCATGTGGTCAGCTGGAGCTTCCCTGTCTAGGAAAGATACTAAAATGATGGCATAACTGAGACCCCCAGGTGGGCAGGAGGGTGTTGCTGCCTACCTGTGTTGGGGACAGAAGAGGCACTGGTGGAACCGATGCTATTAGCTCTGGACACTACACTTCCCTTACGAGTGTTTTCTACAAAAAGCCCTGGAAAAGAGAGGTTCCAATCACTAAGGACTGGAATGGAGTGCATTGCCAGCCCTCATAGACAACTGTGGGCACAAAGGCTTCCTTAAATGACTGCCAGCCGTCCTGAGCCACCCACTTCCTGCCATATCATGCTGCAAAGCTCCTGTCTCCCATATCTACACTGCTCCATAGTCAAACCCTCTGGCTCACAAAGGGACATCTGAACATTTGAGAACCAGTGAACAGCTGTCACTATTTCCATCACTTCCTGGTCCAGAGCAGAGGAATCAGGTGTCACCCATGGTTGCTTCCTGCCCATTCTCCAGTTCCTTTTTCATGTCTCAAGCCAGGACCTTGGCTCAGAGACAGTGGACTGTGCTCAGGTGTGGCTAGCAAGGCCACAAGAATTTATACAGCTGAAACAGGAGAATCATTCCAAAAGCCCAAGACAATAGGGGAGGCACTCACTCACCAGGGTCCAGGCTGTTGTCACTGTAGGCATACTCCACCTGCAAGCACCAAGCAAGGGAGAAGCCCATCAGACACAAGTGTGCTGACAGCCGAAGGGTTCCCCGAACGCAAAGCTGGGATAGGCTGTGAGAGCGCCGCCCCTCTGCATGATCCCTTCCGCCCCACTCATCCTCCGGCCCCCAGCCCCCTCGTTCCCTCGCGCTCGCGCGCACACGCCTCGTTTGTCTCTACACCTTGGCAGCCGCGGGGTAAAAACTGTCTATCTGCAGCCCTGGGAGACTCTGGGGACAGGAAGGAAGCCCCTAATCTTCTCGAACCCCTGTGTGCACGAGCCCAGCCCGCTCTTCCCTGGAGCCGGCGCACGCGCCCACGGGGCTTGCCTTGACCCAGGGGTCCTCGGGAGAGGCGCCTGGCTCCGTCATCTTGGACCTATGGAACCGGAAACAACTAAGCGGGCGGGCCCCCTGCTGCGAGGAAGCGGAGAGGCGCGTCCACGTGACTAGAGTTCACCAATCCACGACGGAGAGGCAGGGATGGGGCGAGAGTGCTGCGCACGCGCGTCTCAAGACTTTAAAACTGACTGGAGGTGGTTCTCCTTGGCGTTGGACCTACAACTGGTCGGTGATAGGGATCTGCTCCTCGCCTGTCCCTGCCTTTCTGCAGTTTAGGGTCTAGAATGGCGGCCACATGAAGCACCTTCTATGAAATGGGATCCCTTCAAAAGGCTTTTGTGAGGGCTGGGGATAGATAGATATATATATATTTCGATGTAGAGCCAGTGCTTCTCACGTGAAGGGCCATGGGTTCCATCCTCAGCACTACCCAAGGGGGAAAAAGTTTTCTAAATATTGTTGCAGATCCTGTGCGCATGTGCACTCACCTGCACCTGCAGACCTTGTCCCTAGGTTAGAAACTGGGCGGAGCACTCCTGCTTCACATCATCTGACCCCATCAAGCTGCAAGTTCTGAGGGCAGAGCCACTACCCAGCATTGATCTTCCAAAACCCAGCCCAGTAGCTGGCAGGGTGCTTGTGGAATTAAATAATCCTTGCAAAAAGTTTGTTGTTTTGCTGCTTTATAGTGAGGAATTAGAAGTACCTAAAAAGTCTCTCACTCAAAAGTCTCTCTCACAGCTAGTAAGTGGGAAGAACGAGGATGACATCAGTCTGGCTAACTTCAAAGGCCATATACTTAACCACTGTAATCCTGATTTCTGGCTCAGGTCTGGGCCCTGAA